CTCTCTCTCTGATGGATAAATTACCTTTATTTTATTTATTTTTATGTGGTGCTGAAACCTCACACATGCTAGGCAAGCCCTCTACCAATGAGCTACAACCTCAGCCCTCAATTGAATTCCTATGTTTTACTCCATCTGATAAGTTCTTTTAATCTCTCTTTCTTCCTAATTTATAACTTATAAGGCAGACCTCAGTTTTGTGCTCCTCTAGAAATCCTTTCCTTATAATTTCAAATTACCCCTATTCTTTTCCTACTCTAAACAACTCTACTTACAAATTAAACATATATTTATCAACTATTTTATATTGTATTCTAGTTGTTTGTGTCCTTTAGTCTTGCAACGATTATAAGTTTCTTGACAAAAGCAATTGTAATATTGTTTTTATTCTAAAATGTTGCCTAATACAAAGAGAAGGCAATATAATACATATTGCAAATGACATTTGTTCATCAAAGGGATGATCCTCTCATGTTCTAAATTTCTATTAATCCCAAACTGGGATTAGCCCTTATCAAGCAGAGCTATTTACACAGCATGAGTTACATCACATGAGGGTTAAGGTCTAATTACCAAGGACAACTAGAAGCTATTCCTAGAAAATAACAAGTAGTCTAAGTCATAGCATCAGTTTCTTACAATAATCACTCTCTTGACCCAATACCTGAGATTTTGAGAAAGGTTATATCCACACAGTGGCTAGGAAAACATATTCTAGATCTATATTGCAAATGTTTCAATGTTACCTCTTTTGTTTACTGTTATCTCCTGGTAAATTAGGCAAATTACTTAACTTCCAGTTGTTTTCCTATACAAATGAGATCAGCAATAACAGTGCCTATCTTATATTGTTGCCATGAAGATTAGATGAATAAATCACTGAAAAGGGCTTAAAATATTGCCTAATATGTATTTAATTAATTTTCAGCTATTATTATTCTAAAATATAGAATATTCAATTTTAAATGGTATAATAGGGTTTTATGAGAATGGACGCAAACAAGTGAAAAATCTTTCCTTTATAATGAATAGTTTCTTTTTTAGCTTATTAATAAAAAACAAATACCTCAATTCTTTCTTATACTCAAGTCTGGTTGACCTAGTCCTGCTCTTTTAAGATACTGATTCAATTCCTCACTACTTTCTGTTATAGTTTAGATCTGGAATGTCCCGCCCAAAATAAATATTATTCTGCATTAAACCATAGAAAAATGTTATTTTTTCTCTAAAATGTACATACCTATCCTTGCAGCCAAAGACAAATAAGAAATCAGGAAAGTAAAAGAATTAAAGATTGAAAAGAGGAAAAGTGACTGGAAGAGAAGTGAAGAAAGAGGCCAAAGTATTGTGAGGATTATCTAAAGATAAGGCAATCATCTAGAACTCTGACAGGAACATTGTCAAAGAGACAACAGTGAGCCATGTGTATAAAATAAGGGGTGATGCCGGAAAGCAACAAGGATTTGTTTGGAACAGCATAGTCTGTTGCCATGAGCTTCACAGGTTTGTTTGTTTGTTTTTTCCTAGGAGGAGAAAGGGAGAGCACTCAAGAGGTATGAAGAAGATATCTATTTCAACTCCAGGCCCGGAAGTAAGTAGTAACAGAGAAAATAACTGCAGGGGAAGCAAGGTCTCTCCAGATTTCACTTAGAAGAAGCTGTAAATGGTTTGAGAAATCAACATATGCAGATAATATAAATTCATATGTTACTTCATTGTCAAAAGAAACCTACAGGATAACAAAACCTAGAAGTTACACATAGAAAATAGCCCATGCAGAGTAAATAATAAAACAGGTATTTTCTACCTCCTTCCTAACTTTAGTCATTCATTACTGAAAATCAGATGTTCTATATGAAATACTAACAAAAAACCTATCTCTCAATATTTTGAATGAAAAAAAAATACAATTCAAAATGACCAAAGCCAGAGTTATAGCTCAGTGGTAAAGCACATGCTTAAGCACATGCAAGACCCTGGGGTTCAAAACTTAGTACCAAACCAACAAACCAAAAAAAAAAAGTGTACTAAAATATAGTTAAGCACCCCAAAAAGGTAACAAACTCCCAGGTTAGAAGCAAAATGTTGAAAACATCACTTCTGGATCAAAACACATTTCTAAGGTTATCAACAGCTTATAAGGCATTAAATCATCTTTGTTGATATCTGGTAAACCTTTTAAATAATATAAATGTGATTCTGATTCTAAAATTATAACTAGAATTTAACACAGACTCCCACACATTATTTTGTTAAAGATGTAGTATATGGCTTATTCACTTTTGGACAGAAATACAAATTTTTCTTCCCTAAACATCAGCCAAACACATTTAACATTAAGTAATTTGGGGACATTTGGGAGTCAAATACTAAGAGACTTTCTAATAGGAAAAAAATTAACTATGAAGTCATTCTATGGAGTCTTCATATTACATTTGTTCAATTAGACTGAATGGCTATGTTAGTGTAAAAATAGGGCAAATTAACAATCCCTACCAAACATCAGAATTTTCATATTCCAAGTAGGAAAATAGTAGCGAACTCCTCAAGAGAGTTTCTGTGAGAATTAAATTAATAAGTTAGCAGAGTGCCCTAGTACATAGTACATGCTCAATAATTATTAGTTATTTATCTATTCCTATTATTTTTATTATCTGTCTAGCAATTGTAGCTTATAAATATTTGTACATACAGAATATTGTTTGATCCTTAAGACATAACAACTGTATGCAAGAGAAAGGACATGGATTTCCACCTCAAAAATAAAATGATAAATGCTTAAAATAAGTGACTTGCCTAAAGTTACTTGGTCATCTAACAATACCCACCCTGACTGGAGATAAGCCACCTATAAACCAACAATTGCCAAACTTTTTCTTAAAAGACCATATGACTTGCAGGCCATATGGTCTCTGTTGCAACTATTAAACTTTGCCACTATAGCACAAAAGGAGCCATAAACAATGCTAAACAAATGGGTGGGGCTATATTGCATTAAAGCTTTATTTATGAAAACAGGTTATGCGTTAGATTTGGTTCAGGGACTATGGTTTGTTGATCCCTGCCCAAAACTTTTAGGTTACCAGTCCTATGTATTTTTCTAATACTTTATGGTCACTACCTATTTTCAGGATAGTGATTTATCATTAACCTTCTAATAGCATTAACCATCAGGGACAATATAAATCAGAAATAATTTGTGAAAGAACTTGAAGACAGTAATATACACTACATAGATATTATTGCGACTGTTTTTTCCTCTTCTCCAGCTTTTAAAACTCTCTTTGCCTCTTTCCTTATTTCTTTCTCCTTTAATAAGGCAGTTGGCTTTAAAGTAAATACTTTTCTATTTTCCTAAAAATATAGAGGCAAATATGTTTGCAGAATCTTATCTTAAAAGATATGGTGGACATTTGATGAGATATTAAAATAAACACACTTATCAATGTCTTGTCTTAAAATAGTAGAAATGTGAAACTTTGTAATATAACTTATATGGACATGGGTTTTTGGGGGGAAGGGAGAGGGTGAAGTAGAGGGAACAACAGTAAGCAGCTATTATATTCTCAATCTCAAAGAACAGAGTTATTATCAGTTTTCTCATTAAAGATGTTACACAGGGGGCTGGAGTTGTGGCTCAGTGGTAGCGTGCTTGCCTAGCATGCATAAGGCACTGGGTTCGATTCTCAGTACCACATACAAATAAATAAAATAAAGGTCCATCAACAACTTTAAAATATTTAAAAAAAAAAAAAAAAGATGTTACACAGTGTGGTAGTAAAGACACCAGACTTGGAAATGGAAGACCTAATTTAGAATTGTTTTTTTTTCAATTACTATCTTTGTGACCTAGTAACCTACATATAAGGAATTGCTGTGAAGACTAAGACAAATAACTATGTTATAATACCAAGCATCATAAACATTGATTATTGTTGCATTTGAAGTTATAAACTTCCTAATCAAGTACATTTCTATATGTGAATAAAAGTACAACATGATACAATACAGTGCAATAACATGATTTATAAAGCGTCCAAAATATCTATTGCTAAGGATAAAGTACAAAAGCATTTTTTTTTTGCCAAGAAGATGAAAGTTCTTTAAAAACATTCCCTTGTGTAAGCCAGAAATATTCTTTGAAATTAAAACAAACCAGGATTTATTACGTGATGTGTGCTGAACATTTTACATCAACTCATTTAACCTTTACAACAATCTTGAGACGAAACTGATCCAATAAAATGAAATGACTTGCCCACAGCACACAATGTCTTGGATTTATACCCTGGTTACACTGATTCTAAAGCTATATTCTTTTTATTACATAATATTCTTTTCATCTTTTTGACTTGGGATCCACATAAAGCTAAGTGCCTTATATAAGGCCAAAGAATAATTAATTTTGGTGTAGTAGTAGGTAAACTTTACATAACAAGGCATGGTTTCACCAGATTAAGTCTCTCCAAATCACAAACTTTTTCAGGGCTATTTAATCTGGTTTTGGCCTCAAAAATGTAATGGTAAATAGGATGAAACCAGTCTATTTACCATTATCTTTTTAAAAAATGGATATAATCAAGTGAAACCTTAGATGTTCAACCCTAGAATTTTGATAGGAGAAAAAAACCAAAAAACAAGTTTCCTTAAACTCCAATCATACATTAATAAGTAAAACAAAATATTTTCATTGGCTATATCTAAAAGTTAGCCCTTCCAGAAATCAGATTCCTTCCTTAATTTTTTTCCATGAAATTTAGAGAAACTATCACAAAATAAAATTGGTGTCCCCGATGTTTTTGAAGAACTAAATCAGAAAATTAGAAGCTTTTGGGTTATGATATTACATGTAACATACAAAGTGAGGGAATAAAAATATATAAAATATTTTATAAATTTATGATCATTCTTTCCCTTTATTTAAAAGAATCTTTATTTAAACCACCCTTTTTTCCCCTTGCTAAAATAGAATGAACTTTACCTCCATCCTCTATGCTTACCTGTTGCAGAGGATGCTGAGGGCCCCATGTAGACTACAGTGACATGGCAGACAGAGCCCAGAAGTGTGATTCAGGTAAAAGCCCTCCTTGCAGGCTTCACAGTGAAGTCCCTGATAACCTTTCTGACACTCACACTGCCCTGTTGTCAGGTTGCAGTAAGTCACATCCAGGCTTCCAACCCTAGAGCAGTTACATACATACTCTGAAAAGGAAAGGAAAGAGACATATCAAACAAAGTTCAATACCCTCTTAATAAAATGAGCTCTATTTTATTTCTCATAATAAATATTTGTGACAAATTTGTAAGGCTTGATAAATTATTTTTATCTAGTACTAATTTACTTTCTATACTGTTAATTTACATTAGGAAAAAGTAAACAGGGAACATAAAATTATGTATGGTTCATAATTATAAAGCTAACATCCTCAATTTCCCTTCCAGTACTCTTTATGTTATTAGCTTTTATGAATTGGAAGCTTCTAAAAGCAGGCTTATCTACATGGCACTGAGAGCACATGCTAGAAATGAAATGTGAAATAATAAATAATCCCACTGCATAACAGCAAAGACCTCTAAAATACTGATGATTGAGTCCAATAACATATACAAGGTCATATAAGATTATGTCACAGCCGTAATCATGAGCTAATATGTTCCACCTAGGAAGAAACTAATAGAGGATTGAAGATTTAAGGTAAGGAAATGATAAACAATGAATCCAGAATAAAAAGACTGCAGGTTCATCAAGATCAGTAGTAAAAACCAACCATAATGTGTCTTTCCCAAATTGAAAGATTTAGAAAACAAATATTTTCTTTAGGTATATTTCAAGCAGCTCTTTGGATGAAAATAATTAGAAGCCCTTGGTTTTATCCTTCTAATACAAAGACTTATTTGAAGGTTAGGATTTTTTTTTTTTTTTTTGCTACTACATCTACTCATTTTATTAAAAGGAAATGATTTTTAACATAGTTTGACATATAATAAACATAGTATTTTGTAAGCACCTCCAAAAAGATGTAGCAGAGAAAACAAAACTTAGAATATATTCTAGGTATATGTTTCAAAGCTTCAGTTCAAAATAGAAATGAACTTAGACTAAAAGAAGTCAGAGAAATCTATGGTACAAATTATACTCATGAATAGGTAAGACAGTATATAAACTGGTAACATACTGATAAAAGTTTACTTCGGAAATACAATCCTTAAATGCTATTTTTTAATTGTTTTTCTAAAAGTTCCTGAATAACTGCAAATGCAGCGACTTGAGAAAAGTTAAAAAGGGATGTTCCTTTTTATCTAAAAAGAAAGAAATTAAACTTCAAAATTCTTTGTGTGATCACACATATCATATCCATGCAAGACAAAACAAAGGATTCCACGAAGAAATTCCCACTTGGCCAACTCTGTACCTCCTATGCATCTTCAGTTCCTAACCGTTGGTGTCAGTTAATAAACAGGCTCTTCACACTTCTTTTAATTTATGCACATAGTGGATGATTTGTTTATTTTATGCATATCCCAAGCATGGATAGTGGATTAAAAATTCCAAAGGAAAGTTCAGATTTTTTTAGCCCCAAGTATAGGAAAGGAATCGGCTTGCCACCACAATCAATGTTCTTTGTTTTGGGACTGGTGATGTGGTTCAGTGGTAGAGCACTTGTCTCACATGTGCTAGGCCATGGGTTCAAGCCCTAGCACTAAAGAGAAAAAAAAAATCTTATTTTAACTAACCTACATAAGCATGGTATTTCTTTGAAAGAGTTACATACTTTTACTTTATATTTACTTTCCAGGCATGTGTGTGTGGTGGGTTTTGTATATAAGAAAGGCATGTTCAGTAGCTTTTAAAGCTGCCAACAACAACTTCATGGTAAGACCTTTGCTTCACCAAAAATAGACAGAATGCTTAAAATAACATTTTTCTTCTGGAATTTGGCAGAAATTCAACATATATCCAACTCTTCCTGCTGGACAAATTTCATCACAGGTTAAACTAACCAAATTATGCTGGTACAGAAAGAACTAGCTAAAGAAAAATAAAAAGATAAGAAGTTTCATAATAAAGACAGTAAATTTATTCTACTTTTAATATTAAAAGTATTTCCATCTGAATACTCAATCAGTATTCTCAATGAATCAGATATAATTAGCAGTATTTTTTAAAGAATGCAATTAATCTAAGAACTCAGAGATTAAAAACACAGTATTTTTTTTCAGTAAAGATTTAATGGATAAAACCTTTAGTACTAACCAAGTTCATTGGCTATTTTTTTTACTGAGTAAATTCAATTTCTTCATTACCTCCTGAACATACTCTTGTTAGTTCCGTCTCTTAACTTTTCCTCATTCTGTGCACTTGAAATGTTTTCTGTTCTTCACATATTCAAACCTTCCTCCTATTTCAAGAAACTTAGTCCACCATAACTTCTAACTCTATTGCCCCTACTAACACCTACTACCTGGAACTCTCCTGAGAATGTAAAGAGACAATAAAGCAAAACAGTTCTGAATGCAGACCACAGAGGCAGACAGCTAAGGTTTACCATGATACTCTCTCACTAAATTTATAACCTTAGGCCAATTAGTTAACCTCTGTGTGCTTTCATTTTCTCATCAACAAACAGGGCCTAGTAATACTACCTATAACACTCATCCCCAAAAGTGGGTTTTGGAAGTACTGCAAATAATTAACATAACAGCTGGGGAAAAGTGGGAAGTGATACTATAAAAAATAACATAAATGTAATTCATTTGTTAGATTCATAGGCCACAGCTTTGTTATACCCTATAGACAAGATCTGAGAGCCTAGGAATGGATTTATTACCATGGCATCTTTGGACAATGTCTAGAAAATGGAATTAGTGCCTTGTTATACAGAAATCCAAGTTGTGAGCCATCCAGATAAAAAATAAGAGGATAGCCTGTAATACTAGGTTCCATGCATCACTAATATGTGTGCCTACAAACACAGTGATAAAACAAAAGAATTTAGGATGTGGTTTCAGAGAGGATGAAAAACAAATATTCATTAATTATATGCCATGGTACTAATCATCCTACCCATAGTAAGGTGAATGGCAAATATTTTAGCAAGAGAGACCACCCTGGTTGTGGGAAGGAGGCTGACATCAAGACAAAGATGTGCTATCGTATTAATACTTTTCCCCAAAATAAGCAAAGAAAAGGAAGCAAGAACAAAGCACACCAAGTGTCAGAGAGCGTGTACATCTTTTCATTTGTAGCTCAGAATCTGAAGTTCCTTGATTAACCTCAAATGAAATGACCTAAGTGAAATGAAAACTAAAATCTCAGATCCTTCATGGTTCTGGACATTTGTGGGGAACCAGATAGGAGATAATGCAGAAATAATTCAATCCCTTAGTAGAATGCCAGCAATATGAAAAAGAGAAAAGGAAATTTCAATGGTAGAAGCAATGGGAAGGACTTATAGCAAAGACAACAGGAAATGCTGACTTTTAATGAGGAGGAATCTCAGACACCAGAACTCAAAGGAGTCTCTGACATGATTAATGGTAGGTCATTAGTGTGAATGTTAATGAGAATGAAACAATATGAAGAGGACACCAAAAGCTAAACACAAATAGTATCAATTAAATGCCAAAAAGTTCATTCGGTTGCCTAAGTAAAAATATAGAATAAAAATTTGCCAAGTAGCAGGTTACCTTCCAATGCCCTATACTTCTTGGGAAAAGTATATTCAGAAATAATTATTCAGAAATAATTAAAGCAATGTAAATGTTCACAGAGAGAATATAATCTTTGGCAATTTTTTTTCTTTTTGTTGTTTGCAGTTTCTGGAGAACAATGAAACATAGTGATTTGAACCCTGAAGAAGAATAAGAGAATAAAATCTGGTCCCAAGCTGCTTTAAGCATTTGAAAAGAGAAATTCAAAGGCCCGGGAGTTAGGGGTGTGGTTCAGTGGTAGAGTGTTTACCTAGTATGTGCCAGGCCCTGGGTTTGATTCCCAGAACTGGAAATAAAAGAGAGCAGGAGGAAGGGAGAGAGAGAGAGAGAGAGAGAGAGAGAGAGAGAGAGAGAAGAAAACACATATAAAGGCCCAGAGAAAGAATAGTTCCCCAGAGAACTTCAACTTATGAAATAATTTTGATGTAAAAATATCCAAAGAAATCACTGCATACAAATCAAATGGTGCACTTTTTCAAACACTCCTTAGTAAGGACCAACCAAGAGAAAAATTTTGCTTGTAAGAACCACAAGAACCTTTGTACACAAACACCTGTCTTGATAAGCAAATCTGTTATCTGCAGCTATTTTGCACTAATGCTGGGAGTTTTAAAAAAAATATTAATTAGGCTGGGGATGTGGCTCAAGCGGTAGCGAGCTCGCCTGGCATGCGTGCGGCCCGGGCTCAATCCTCAGCACCACATACAAACAAAGATGTGTGTCCACCGAAAACTAAAAAATAAAAATATTAAAAAATATTCTCTCTCTCTCTCTCCTTAAAAAAAAAAAATTAGTTGTGATAATATGTCCTAGTGAATATGTCCCCACTCTCTGTGCTTCTGTTGTAGTTAACTATGATGTCTGGAGGCACAAGCAATTTAATACAATAGTGTGATAGCTAGCTCTTTATAGGTTAAAAAAGAACTATAGCCAGTGACAGTGACATGTTCCTCTAATTCCAGTGGCTCAGGAGGCTGAGGCAGGAGGATCACAAGTTTGAGTCCAGCTTCAGCAACTTAGCAAGGCCCTACCTAAGCAACTTAGGGAGACCCTGTCTTAAAATAAAAAAATAAAAAGGGCTAAGGATGTAGATCAGTGGTAAAACTCTTCTGGGTTCAATCCTTAGTAGCCCCCCCCCCAAAAAAAAGGAACTATAAAAGCAATAAATAAAAAATTTGAAGATGTATGAAAAACTTGTTTCTTCAGTCAATTCATGATGCAAACCTCTTAAAACAAAGAAATGTTAAATTGATAACAGTATGTTGCTAAGCTAAAAGTGATTATAAACAAGTATTGCATTTAAACAGATATTGGATAAATAATTGAACTTTAACTAATACAGAGGAATCTAGTTCATGAGTACATCCTGAAATTCTACTAAATACCCTTGCAAAACACAATTTACAATTTACAATTCCATATTCATTTAATAATAATTTTACTCATGCTTTTCAATATTTCAACTACTATTATATATGAAGAATACCAGG